AGGCTATCCGAGCTTAATCGGGATCTGAGGTATTAAAGACATCTTAATGATACTTAGTATAAAGAAATTTCCAAATACTACAATTACCAAAAAGCGACCGTTAATTTTTGTTTTTGATCAAAACATGCAGGATCAGAAGCTATAAAACGTAAATTATATTTTTTACTTTATTTTCTTATATTTAAAGTTTAATTTACCTTAAACGTGAAAGCAACAACTTGATAAAGTAGGGCAGGGGGGCAAAAATTTTAGAACTGTCTTATTTCCAGACTCCAATCATCATAACTTTATGCAAAGGATCCTTATTTGGCATAAGCATAAACATATAAATGTTTGGAGTTTGTTCTAAGAGGTAAGCTATCCCAAAGACCAAAAAATGCTGGATCAGCCCCTACATGATCTATAGTATTTGCTAACGTTTATTACTAAACGTTTTGTTTTAAACTTATTGTCAAAAAGTATTAGGTACTTAAAAGTATTAGTTTTTTTTGTTCTGTATTTAGACATAAGCAACATTTTTATAATTTTTATTTGCTGAAAGATTTTTTGTCTGTTAATGCGGACGTGAAAATGACAAAAGATGATTCTCCTGTTAATACTGACATAGAAATGGTAAAGAGTGTTGGTAAACAAGATCGAGAAATCAATGTAATTCTTTTTACTTTATTAAAATAAATGTTTACAGATTGCATATTCTGTATTAAGTTTTTAACTTATTAGCGAGTACGTACAAGTTGGTATACCTTAAAAACACAAACACCTTAAAAACTACAAAGTCGTAGTTTGATGTACTCGAGAAACTCGAGAACTTTTTGAGCTTAAGTTTGAGCTCTTAAGTTTTGAATTCTTCGTTTTAATACTTCATATAAATATTCTCTTTAAAAAAATACAAGTTTGACTATTTTCATTTTTTGAAAGTGTGATATAAACAATTTAAAGTTAAATAAATTTAAGTTTAAAGTACAAAACTACACTTTTTAGCATGGGTAAGCACCAATTTGAAAATAAGTTTGCAGTTCTTTGGTTTATAAAATCTACATTGCTGTGACAAGTTGGTGGAATGAGTTTTTTACTAGCAGTAGAGATACTTGTAGGTTTTAAGGGGTACTAAGGTCAACACAAACATTGAAACAAATCTCTAAATGTTTTTTTTTCAGAATCAGTAAGTTACATTTCAAAAAACATGAAACATTTCCCTAATTGATGTTATTAGTTTCCTCGTCATTCAAATTGCCTTTATACTTAGCGTTTGTTTTGATTGATGTTGCTAGTTTAATCAGTATTGGCTTCATTCCATTAACTTCATTCAAAGTCGTGGTGCTCTGCTTCCCATCTCTCCTGAAATGACTGACCAAGCCAATAATAAATTTTAAAAGTTGTGTTTAGAATATGGTTATATTGGAATTATATGGAATAGTGTTAAGAAAGAAATAACTAGTTTACAACATAAACAAACTTTTTTTCATTATAATAAATAATATAAATTTTTATTTACTTTGTAACCATAACACTCTACTTACTTTCTTGTCTATTCAACATTTTTCTGTACAATTTTTTGCATTATTTTTTTGTTTTTTGTTTGTTTGTTTGTTCACATTTGACGTAATATATATAAATTACATTTTTTTAAAATACAAACAAGGAAGTTTGACAAATTTATGACCATCTTGATTTATGGTGTTGCAATAGTCTCTAATTTTTTTAGATTATTGACATGCTTTCTTGATATTTCTTTATTACACCTGTTTTTTTTTATCAGTTGTAGAATTCATTTTTAATGAATTCTACAAATTATATTCCTTGATATTCCTATATTCAATAAAGTGTTCTTCCTCTGCTATCAGAATTGGTAAATGCTGCTTTTTGACATTAACATATTTTCCATCTAATCTCCCATCAATGGTGCCTCGATCTTTGATAAAAGTTGTGCTCTTTGCAGTAAGACACAGCTTGTTGAATTTGAAGTTCTTTTTTATTTTTATTTTTCCTCTGGACCTTTTCCTAAAAAGTCTTCTATATCTGAAATTTTTTCTAATAAAAAAAAAAGTCATTAAGAAAAAAAGTAGGGTGGGGCACTTTTCCCCAGCCGCTGCGGCGTCGTTGGCCCATATCTGATAAACGACTCTAAAAATATTAGCTTATTTTATTGCTGTATTTTAGTGGTAACAAACAGAAAAAGTAACTTTTTTTTAAATCACAAAACTTTACTAAAAACCATAGATTAAAAAATATGACAAGCGAACAAGGCCATCCCAAAGAGATTTTAATGGGGTGGGGGGGGGGGGGGGAGTTGACGTATCTGTTTTTTTACCGACTAAAGACAAAAAAAAATTTTTGCCGACAAAGTTATCTATAAAAAAAAAAAGGCCTACATTTAACGACTTCCAACTATAGATCCAATTTTAACGACTCTAGTGTCCAATATTTTTTTGTCTAATTGTCCGAAATAAACTTTTTAGGGGGCTAGACACCCCCAACGCGCCCCCTCACAATCATTGTAAGTAATATTTAAGTATCAGCACTTCTGAATTTTTCTATATTCAGTTATAGGGGACTTTTGTTTTTGGTAGACTAAAATGCTGAAAATATTGAAGAACTTTGTATCATATAAATTTTAGCGAATTTACCAGTGCAATAAGTGAAATTCCAAAACAATCTTTAGATAATGAACAAACAGCGTTTATACAGGCTATATCCAATGAGAAAAAAAAACACCGCATTAAATATTTTTTCTCTAAAAACAATTTTTAAACGTCAAAAACAAGTCTTGTGTTTACTTGGATTTAGTAGTTCATATTGAATTTATTGAATAATTTTTGAAACAGTTTTCTAAAGTACTTTCCTTCGAGATTCAAAAAAAAAACTAAACAGTTTATAATTGTTTCTAAAAAATGTTTTTACTAGGCTATCATTGCATGCGTTTACCATAAATTTAGAAAAAAAGGAAAAGTTAATAAGTTAAAAATAAAGTTTAAGCTTGTGATTGTAGTTTAGTAATTTTTATATCGTCTTTGGTATAGTAGCTGTTTGGTTGTGTATATATTTATTCTCTTTGCAATGTTTTCCTTTTAAAACTCTCATATTAAAACTAGTACATTATAAAAATAAATAAAATTTAAGCGCTTGCTGGTAAAAAGAGCAGAAGAGTTTTTAATAGAATGTATACATTAATTTAATTTTGAAATTTCTGCGTATGCGCGATTTTAATTCCATTTTTATATCCATTCATTTTAATTTTCAAATGTGTGATTTATGAAAATGCGTGATTTACGAAAGTTTTTTTTAACGTCATGCATATTTATATTATTTTTTAATTTTAATTTTTATTTATACTGGGTTACCATTTTAAGGTATTGTTTTATAATTTATAATACTTAGGTTTGTTAATTTTAAAAGTCTTAGATAAGCTTTAATACAAAATTAAGTTAAAACATGATTCAACTTAATTTTAGAGTTTCATTAATGTATTATATATTTTAGTTATATTATCATTAAATTAATTATTTTTAAGTGTTTGATGAGTGCTTACAAAGTATTTAACAGCGTTTGCGTTTTTTTCTATTCAATCCCGGGATTTTCCAAGGACAAATTTCTAAATCCCCGAAATTCCGGGATTGAAAATTTTCGGGATTTTGGCCTTCCCTTGTAACAGAGTAATGTCGGACTAAAAGTTTTTTTGTTTTCAATGCTTTGAAAAATCATTACGTTGGAATAAATAAAAAAAAGGGGGGGGGGAGGGCTGATTTTTTATATTTAACCATAAGTATGAGACTATATTTAACCAGAAGTGTAACCATAAGACTATATTTAACCATAAGTAGGTTATGAGATACCTCTTTTAATCTTAGCGCAACTTTATTTTCTAGACATATAAACCACATTATCATACTTTTGACCACTTTAAAATGATAGATCTAAATTTCATTAAATTAGTTTTTTATTTTTTTATTTATTTTTTATTCAACTATTAATTAATTAGTATTCAATTAGTATTAGTTAATTAGTATTCAATTCATTTTTATATCCAAAATTTCACCTCAAAAATCTTATTATAAATAGATTTCTTATTATAAAAACAAATTGTTCTAGAAACATTTCTTATTTTTATTCCTTTCGTAATTTTGTTTTAAACTTTATGGACTGATGGTTTTGAATTTTGTGGATATTTTGGTTTTGAGAAAATTGCGGAAATACAAAAATATATTGACATTTATTTGAGACATCTTAATGTTCTTTAGCATTATCTAAATAATTTTTTTACGTTTCGTTAGAATGGTTTATCGTTTTTGCAGTAAAAAGAAAGAATTCGCTATCATTATCATTAAACAAAGAATTCGCTATCATTATGGTCAAACAAAGAATTCGCTATCATTATGATCAAACAAAGAATTCGCTATCATTATGATCAAACAAAGAATTCGCTATCATTATGATCAAACAAAGAATTCGCTTTTTGATCTTTTTTATCATTATGACCAAACAAAGAGCGTTTAATTAGCCTTAAAACATTTTCTTTTTTTTATTGTAAAATTTTGTAATCATTTTTTACTCGCAAGAATGGATATAAACAAGAAAGAATAGAATTATGATGTAATAATTAATGAAAATTATATTTAAGTAGGTTAGAAAACATTTATTCTTGAAATATCTGTTTAAACAGTCGTTTTAATTAAATGTTTTACTGAAAATCTTTAAATGATATCTTAATCCAAATGATGATTTACTTCAACTTTTTATCAAGTTGATTTAATTCAATTTTTAAAGCTGTAATTTCAAGTTTACTGTTGGGTTTTTTCAAGCTTAACAGCATCCAAAGAAGAGGCACGAGGCAAAGCTGCAACAAAAAGCATGAGACAAAACTGCAGCCCATAAATATTAAAATTGAAAACTAAAAGTAAAAATACTTTTCAGGAAGAGCTTAACAGACAAGCAAATGAGCCAATTTTTCTTTAGTATACGTTTAGATGCTTACCGATGTAAAACAATACCAAATGTCATCGATATAAAATTTTGTAAATTAAAACAAATAAAATTTAAAACAATTAGAGCATTTAACAGTTTAGTGAATTAAGGCTATAAAAAACAACAAAAAAGACTACTACTAACTGACATTTATAGCTAAAGAGAAATTTAAACACTAGTATTTTAATATCCGCCACAGTTACCACCTCCTATAATACAACATTTATGGCTTCGACAGTTTGCTTTGCATATATCTTGTAGAGCTTGAATACAACTCACAGTATAGCCAGTGCAAAATCCTAAAACACAATAAACGCATTTGCAGGTTTCGCCATTTTTTTGTGCTCCTTTGCTTATAATGCAACCACCCGAATGATAGTTGCAGTCGCATCCCGAGTAAGCATTTATGATACTAAAAACCACAATGCAATTTAAAATGAACCCTAAAATAAAATCGGAAACAGTTACAGCTTTTTAAAAAAATTTCTAAAAAATAAGAGTATAAAACACCTACCGAACTGAGTACTTAAATTATTGCAACTTTTCATTTTTATTACTTTTTAAAGTTATAAAATTGGCATTCCGATCAAATTAGGTTTGATAACCATCATAATAAAACTTTTATTTGCAGTTTATTCTTTTTATAAAAACTGTTTTCAGTTTTATTGGCTTATAAAAACTGTTGTTTTTTTATTGGCTTAAATATTTTACCAGTTTCAAACGAGTTTTATGTTTCTAATCGTAGGCTTTTTAGCCATTAACGCATTTGCAATAACCACATTACATGGGCAAATACGTAATAAGTGCTATTTTGAAATTAAAGAAAATACATTTAAATGTTTTAGAAATTAGAATCACGTATATATATTTGTAGGAAGAGGTATTTATAGATAAAATAAGCAGCTATGGCGCAGTAGTAACGCACTTGCCTCAGAAACAAAGGATTCGTGGTTCAAACCCTACTTCTGGGCAAGTTTTGTGACATCGGTTTGGAAGGAGGAGTAAACTCCCGATTAAATGCTCATTCGCGGTGCTTTGTGATAAAACCGTAATGACTTCTTTGGGCACCTAAATAAAATTAAAAAAAAATAAAATGAAATAGAGACAGACCTCCAAATGAATTTTTGTATAACATTGCAGTTAAAACAATTTTTATGTTATAAAAATATTTTTCCTGTTAATGAAGATTAAGATTTACAGCAAGAATTATTATTTTTTTATTAATATAGTTTTTGTTTAATTTAAACAAAAGCAAATGAAGCCTTGCCTGCAAAAAGTTTACAAGTCACATTATAATGAATTTGAAAAAAATGGTTTTAGAATTTTATACAAAATGCAGAAATAATAGCCTTAAGTTGAACTCAAGAAATACCATACAAAACTAATGTACACCTAACTAGCTAGTAAAGGGATATTTTAGAGAAAGTTAGACTTTCACCATGTATCTACTTTTTAAAAAAATAAAAAATGGACTTGTGAACTTTTTCCATTAAAACGTCTAACAATGAAACTTCTCATCTGCATTATTATCAGTCTTACTGCTCCCAACATAGTGGCTGTGAGCGTAAATAGCGTAATATTACTCCAGCAATCTACAAAAATAACGCAACACAATAACGTTATGTAATACAACACTATATCAATGCTAAAATCTTTAATCTTACTTTAAATGTAAAAGCTAAACAGTTCTCTGTATAAGAGTCTGCTCACTCAACTTCATCATCATCATCATCATCATCATTATCATCATCATCATCTTCTTCTTCTTCTTCTTCTTCTTCTTCTCCTGCTTTATCGGATTTTGTTCCTGTGAGGCTAGTGTAAAAAGCAGAAGAAGCAACATAAGCATCAATATATTTAAGCAAATACTTAACATCGTTTAGTTTAGCCTCTTTTATGGCCAGCGGTTTTCCATAGGCTGGCACAGGGTTTAGTACACATCTTCTGGAGTGCCCTCTCTTATACAGCAGAACTTAATCAAATGCACCCGTCATAGTGTACTAATCTTGCTGTGAATCTAATGGTTCTAGCAGACGCTACAGGAATGAAAGCTTTTACAGCTGGTTCTACTACTGTCTTCCAGTCTTTTACAACAACAACAGCATCATCATCTACTGACTTGCAAGTCACAGCGTATTGACAAACTTGACTTGAAATGGTTTTCTTTGATTGCATTTCTGTTTATATCGATCCACTCGTCTGGCTTACTGAGTTTCTCAACTCTTCTCTTGCATTTTTCAATCTTCCCAAATGACCTGTCATTAGGCATCATAGAATGTCCTGGAATGGGGTAATGAATGATAACTTCTCCAAAAATCCCACGTGCACTAATGTTATCCAGATAAACAAGTAAGTATCTGTTTTTATTCTGACTATAACAGTTGTCGGCAAATATTATCAATTTTGTGTGAGATTCATTCCTATTTTGATCAATGTAATCATCAAGACACGATATCACTTCATTCGGACCTTTGTGGCCCGACTGCTCACTGTACAGCTATAAGGTAGCTTCACCTGTTACTATGTTTAATATTCCAAAATTGTGTATCCAGAGCGGCCTTTTATAATATTCACCTGCTACGTTTGTGATTAGCACTGGTAGGTTTTTCTCATAGTCCATGCATATCACCAGGCTATCCTCTGCCTTCTCAAGTTTATAGTTTTTAATTTTGTCATAAAACACTTCAGCTTTTCTCAAATATGTACTTACATTACTCATGCTGTGTACTTACATTGGCTGCAACAGTTTTGTCACCCTTCTTGTTAGCTACCTGTTCCTGAACAATAAATTTTTCATAGGTTTCATAGATATCGGATCGCGGACTTTCAAAACTAAAATTAAATTCAGTATTAAAAATATGTGTGAACACGTGTTCGGAAACATGATGATTTTCGTTGCTGTTGTTGTACTGTTTAAACAATGCTGATATGCTCAGGTTGGAATCGAATCGAAACTTCCTATGCTGCTGTTTGCTGCGTGAATAGTGTGATTGTCGACACGGGTAAAATCTCGAACATGATATTTTACATTCTCCGGAGTAAGATTAGTTATTACTTCATGACGACCTCTGTTATCTTCCACTGTCTTTACCCTGCTTTGTGCCGAAGTTACTTTACGACAAAGTTTACTGCATTTTATATTTAATACCGCTAACAAAGCTAACCTGCATATCTCCACACAGCGATCACCAGTTATTTAAGTCACACAGTACTTAAATACTTGTCTGGGTTATTTGGGGGCAACTTTTAAGGACGAGAACGCATTTTTGGTTTGTATATGGTGCAGCTGCGAAGAAATGCAATTTGGAGTGATGTTGTGGATAATGAATGATATGACGTGTGAATGCTTACAGCTTCATCATTGGTTAATTTTTCGACGCACTTGCATCTGCACTTTGGTATTGGACGTTTTCCTGCTTCAAGCGATTCTAAAAAGCATTACATATTATGATTAGCAAACTTTAAAATAAATTAAAATAAAATAAAATAATAAAAAAAATAAAATAAAACTTTAAAATAAATTAAACCACTGCTTGTTAAATAATTTACCAGCATAATAACAGGTTGTCTGTTATCTGTTAGTGTTTAGGGTTAGGGTTAGTGTAAAACATAACTCTAAACCTAAAATAGACACTAATCCTAACTCTAAAGCTATATAATACAAACACACAAAAACACAAATACATACAAGCACACCACACCACACACACACACACATACACACACACACAAACACATCAAACACACAAAACACACACACAGACTCACTCATACACACTGCATAAGACTAAAAGACTAAATAACTGAAAATATCGACTAAATCAATAATATTATGCATTAGAAAGATGAGAGATATGATGGAGGGAAGAATGGAAGGAAGGAGGGGAAGAGGAAGGAGGAGGAAGGGAATGATGGAGGAGCTAATGAATGAAGACTATGAGACAATGAAGAGAAATACTCAGAATAGAGAGGCTTGCAGGAGGTGGGTGCCGTGGACCTATGAGCTGGTACAAAATACAAATACAAAAATTAAAAAAGTTTTACATCGGTTTCGCCGCTACGTAGCAGCTTTAGCGACACCTGGAACAGATCCATTTCTCCATCAGCAAATAAATAGTCCCGAGGGCAGCAAAGATCAAAAAAGTTGGTCTGGTAGAGCATACATAATGACGATGATTAAGAAATATTGCATATTTAAACGTTATTAAACTTACTTCGTTTCTTTTCATCCTTCATTACATTCCTCTTCCATTCACTTTCGTGTACTGTACGTTTTTGACCACAATTTACATTAGTCACTGGCACAGCTTCTTCCATTTTGGTGATTAACACAAAACGTAGCTTTAAACTATTGTCAGTTCGAAGAAATAAATCTATGATTATCTATCTGTCTTTATTTCAAGATACCCGGTGGGAAATGAGCTAGCGACTAGCGAACAACTAGCGAGCGACTAGCTAGCTTCATAGCGATTTTCAAGCGATTTTTTTTTTCTTATTTTGTTTTTTGCAAATGTCTTTAACATCTTTAAAAATTCGATTTTTAGTTTCGAGTCTATTATAATTATGAAAATAATCGAACTTAAAACATTGCGATTTTGTAGCAATGTGTCGCTAGCTACATATCGTAGCTTTGTAGCTAGCTACAAAATATCTTCAAATCTATAGCTGGTTGATAGCTACATATCAAAATTTTTTAGACAACGATTTTATTGTGATACATCAAAGAAACCGCCTTTTGTTTTACATCAAAGAAACCGCCAAAATCAGCGAGCCACGCCTTTTCACGATCTTATCAAAATATTCCGTCATTAGCAAAAATGTATTAAAAATGGCTGCCAATCAAAGATTTTTAGTAAGGATTTAATAGACGATTCTGTAAAGTGATTTTTGTAAAAAATGAATCATTTATGTGCTTGCAAATTATTGTTCAAATCAAACATAAATAAATCATGTTTATGACAAATACAAAGATATAATAACAGATTTTTTATAATACTTAGACAAATACTTCCTGTTTTTAGGTAAACGTCAACAATAAAATTAACACATAGAAGGAGCTTTTTAAAAAAGATTTATGGATTGGATATTTTCGTCAAGTTTTATATTTTATATTTCAGTTTGTATTCTTACCATTCAGAGTCTAAATTATTTGCTTATTTTGTTTCAACTTTAATATAATATTTTTTGTTTTCTCCGACATGCCGCTTTTTTTTTGCCTTCTTTTATTTATACGTTATGTTATTAAATATAAAAAACTCCGGTTTGAAATTAATTTAATCATCCTAACGTGATACAAACTGTTTCAATTTAATTATATTAATACTAATTTTATTATTAACTTTTATAACAAACAGTTTGCTTTCAAAACTAGGCTACAATTAACCAAATTACCTTAGTTTATTTAGATAAAATTAACTATAAAAAGATTGTTTTAACAAGATCATTATTAAAGATGTAATTTTTTTATTGTATTACTTCTTAACTACTAAAATAACTTCGATGATAACATCGTAATTGCATACTTGCTGTTTGCTTTAAAAATTAGTTTTTTATTATAAAATCACAAAGAACTACATTTTAATACACAACTTTTACATAAAATTGTGAACGTTTACGAACAACGCTAATGTTATAACAACTAAAGTATTGCCCTGACTGTTCATGAATTTTTAACAAAATTATTATGAAAAGCCATAATTTAGACTGACTAAACAAGTTCAATAAATCGTTAAAAAATCGACGTATAGAATCATAACTTATAGACGTATAGAATCATAACTTTTTTCTTTTGTTTGAAACAATAGATTTGTAACAATACAGACGCCTAATTATTAAGCATAGTTCGCAAAAACAACAATAAGTTGCACGTCTCTCTTATACGTCCATGCTTTGACTTATTATGGTATAATAGATTAAAATACACAGAAAAAAGTTTATTTTATTGGATCTCCTTGATCTATTAAAAAAAACAGTAAAGAGTGTGATTAAATTTAGATTTTTTCTTTAGAACATAAAAAATAGAAGAAATTTTCAGTTATTTCAAATCTTCTATATAATATTGCCGAACTTAATAGTAGTAGTAGTAGTAGTAGTAGTAGTAGTAGTAGTAGTAGTAGTAGTAGTAGTAGTAGTAGTAGTAGTAGTAGTAGTAGTAGTAGTAGTAGTAGTAGTAGTAGTAGTAGTAGTAGTAGTAGTAGTAGTAGTAGTAGTAGTAGTAGTAGTAGTAGTAGTAGTAGTAGTAGTAGTAGTAGTAGTAGTAGTAGTGTCCCTTGAAGCGTATTTGACACGAAACCCTTGGCAGCCATTGCAACCGAGGTATTGGCAAGAAAGAGTCACAGCACTATAAGAAAACGTAAACGAATATCTAAAGTACGTAAACTTTAAACTAAGTAATGTTAAAGCATATGTTAAAACATACTGAAACATTTATCATGTATTACAGTTTGATTTTCACTTGAAAATTACATTGCGTCAAGCTCTCCTTAATTTTGATCTATAACATTTTTTTCTTCAAAAAAATTAGTAAATCTTTATAAAATTTTTGTCATATATGCCGGTGTAGGTCGAATAGATAAAGCGTCGAACTTCTGGTTCAAACTAGAGGTTCGACTCCTACCAATGGCGGCTATCCTTTTTAATTTTTTTAAATTATTTTAAATTACGAAATACTTTTGAAGTTTTATAAAGATTATATACAAACATATGCAACGTAACGATATTATGCACTTAAAAAAGAAAAGATTTCAAGAAAGCTAAAAAAAAACATCACCATGGTGATGTTTTTTTTCTCCCGGTGCACCGGGAGAAAAAAATCGTTGCGTATATATGATGATTGAGAACTTTATTATTGTGCTCAGGTAATTAGTCCTAATAAGCTGCGGATGGTCTGAAAAAAAAGATGTCTGAAAGTTAATAAAGAAAAAACTATATTAAATAAATAAGAAAGTTCTGCTATTCAAGAAGGTGCTGCTGTGGAGGCAAAAAAAAATAGCCCGTAGCTAGAAAAAAATTTAAAACTTTCTTTTGATAATCAAAAGCTTTTTTAGCTACATTTATTTTTTTACTATAAATATATGCTGCAGCTGTATTTCAAAACGCCTTAATATGCTTAATACGTATTTCGAGAAAAACGCAATTAAAGTCATTCTTTGTTAAACGTTTTTTTGAAACGAATAATTTTAATGAATTTTTTTCAGAAATCTTTGAAAATATGTATTCAATAATGTTTGTAGACATAAACTAGCTTATTTTATAAAAAAGTCAAAAATGATATATTTAACCTTAAGGTGTTTTGAAAAACGGCTGCAGGGATGATACAACGAATATGTCAAAATGAGATAATTTGACGCAAAATTTAAAAGCTAGGGTTTCTCAAACGGGATCCCGGGATCCCGTTTTCCCGGGATCCCGGGGATAAAAGTGGCAGCGGGATTTCCCGGGATATCACTCTTATATCCCGGAATATAATTTTTTTTTAAAATAATTTTACATATGATAACTTTGAACTAATTCGACCAAAAATAAGAAAAATATTATTGCATTTAGTTGTGTTTTATGTGTTCATACCTTATATTAAAACCTAGCACAACAAGAAATGCTATTGAAACTATCTTAAACTAAAAAGAAATGCATTGCAATGCAATGTTTTCTTTTTTCTCATTATTATAAAATATGAGTAAAAAATAAAAAAGATTTCTTGCGACGAAAACAGTAAGTTTAATTTTTAAACTTCTAAGTTATTGAAAAGTTAAACTTTTTCTGTATCAAATTATTGAAATATTTAATAATTTTTGTATTTAAAAAACGGCAAACAAACACATAAAAGTCATACGTAAGATAACATACATATGTAAGAAATATTTGTAACTTTACTTTTAGTTGTTCTGCGATTCAATTTAGTTATACTATGTCAATTGTAAATGGATCCAAAGCATGGCAGTATTTTTGTAAAGAAAAATCTGGCGAATCTGCAATTTGCAAAAAGTGCAATGTAAAGATAATGTGCAAAGGATTTTCGACCAGTGGGCTCCTACGTCATTTAAAAAACACACATAAAGATTTGGATCTAAATATGAAGCGTCTACTTGAAGATACTGGTTCGGAAAATAAAATTGTTCAAAAGAAAATAACATTGTTTGTTAAACAGCAGACTATCGAGGAAATTGTGTCAAAGCTAGCAACGGTGGATGGCTTCTCAATAAATGCCATAACAAAAAGTGAATTCATTAGAAAATCATTGTCTGAAAAAGGCATGTTATTACCAAAAAATCCATCCCATGTTATGGGTATGATAAAAAAACAATATGAATTAGCTAGACAAACTGTGGTTTTAGAGATAACAAAAGAAATTTCTAGCGGGTCGCGATTTTCTTTATCGTTAGACGAATATACGTCTTTAAAAAATCGACGTTATTTAAATGTAAATTTACACTTATCAACAAAGTTTTGGAACCTGGGAATGACTCCGATAGCTGGATCACTTCCTGCAGAAAAAATTGTTGATCTAGTTGAAAATAAACTGTCAGATTTCAGTTTATCAATTAAAAAGCACATCATAGCTAGTGTCACTGACGGAGCATCCGTAATGAAAAAATTTGGACGGCTAAGTGGTATTGAACATCAGCTGTGTTATGCCCACGGACTTCATTTGGCAGTATGTGATGTTCTTTACAAAAAGTCAGACTCTTCAGCAAAATATATTGAATTTGAATCGCAGTTTCAAGATTCCGATGAAAATTTGAGTGATTACGACGAGTTTGATGATGTATTTGACTGTAATGATGAGTCACACAGCTCAACAGGCGTTACGTTTATTGATGATTTACAAAATAGCGTAAATATAGCCTTAACAATTCAGAAGGTTCGAAAAGTGGTTCGAATGTTCCGTAAATCACCTCTTAAAAATGAAGTTTTACAAATGTACGTAAAATCTATGTTTAATAAAGAGCTTAAGCTGATATTAGATGTCAAAACGAGGTGGAATAGTCTTGTTGCAATGCTAGAAAGATTCCTTAAAGTAAAAACATGTATACTAAAAGCAATGATCGATTTAAAAGAAGTTCTGAATATCTCCGAAGATGAATATGCGATTATGAACGACATAACATTTTCTCTGCAACCAATAAAAGTTGGAATAGAAAGACTTGGTAGAAGTAATGCTACTCTACTTGACGCAGAAGGTGTAATGATATTCATCTTAGACGATTTGACGGAGAAAAAAAATTTTATAGCTAATAAACTGCTTCAATCTGTGCAGCAGAGAATTGAAGAACGCAGAAATGCCAATTTAATTGGATTACTAAAATTTTTAAACAACCCAATTAGTTATAATCAGGAATCAAATATCAACTCCAAACTACTCTTACCGCCCAAACATGCATTAAAAGCAACAGCAAAAAAAATTTATACCAGGTTGTACATAGAGGATGCTAGCCTTAGTTCATCAAATAATGAAATAGTTGAAGTGAGTCGTGATAATGAAAGCATGGTTTC